TTTTTCTTAGAGGGAATGCCACTAACCTTATAGTGCAGTCCCAGCAACAAATCCAATGGTGAGACTTCAGCCCAGGTTGAAGGAAAACAGGAAATGGAGGCTATGCTTAAAAATCAGCCATGAAGGTTTGGGGGCATTGAAGTGAGCAAGGGGGAAGACTGCACACATTTTAATTCATACTGTGCAAATGGCCAATGATTTTACCAAAGATTTGGAAGGAATGATCTCTGTGTGCTTGTTCACATCCCAGAGAGGTAATGAGCAGTCAGGAGATCCAGGTGTTAGTTATGACTTGATCATTGTTGCTGCAAGATCTTGTCAAAGTGTTTTAAACCCCTCCAAGCCTCAGTCTCATCATATGCAAAATAAAAAGCTTGGACAAGTCAGGGTTGGCAAATGTGTGTCCAGATGCTGCCACTCAACTCCTGGTGAGGGCAGCCTCTGCAATGTCACATTGTTCTCAACTATGGTTTCACAGTATTTCTGCACACAGCTTTCCATACAGTCCCTGCCAATACATTAAGGTTGGCACTCAAAATGAACATGCTGTGCCATTCTGTGCCCAAAATCACATGCCTCAAACAACAGTGTACCATGACTCTGAGAATGATTCTTTGGCTTGATAAGATACTCAGATCAAAATGGTGTTCGCTAATAAATCAACTTCTAGCATCTAGAACAAGATCTAGCACATAGAAGTTTCTCAACCAATGTTAATAAAATAAATAATAGCTAAACTTGAGAGCTTGCTTAAGCATTTTGCATATATTACCTTTTTATTTTTATAATTCTTTTTTAAGGCATATACCTCTTTGTCTTCATTTTATTGATGAGAAAAAAAACCTGTAGATGCTACGAATATATATATATATATATGTATATATGTATATATAATGTAAACATACATTTATGTATATACATATGTACATATGCAGCTACATATGTAAGTTTAAATGTATGTATCTGAATAAGTGATCTGCATATTTGGGGCTCAAATCTTATTCTCTGAGTGTATGGTCATATTCTTGACCAGATCTAACTTCAAATCCTTACAGCAAAGAACTTAAGCCCCAAACTACCAAGTCCCATTAGCCAAAAAAAGAAAAGAAAGAAAGAAGAAAAAGAAAAAAGAAAGGAAGAAAGAATGAATGAAATATTCAAGATTACTTGGCTGCAAACAACAGAAATTTGACTTAAGTTAAATAAAGATTTTTTAAATTAAAAGGCAACTAGAAGGCTCACAAAAGAAGTATAGAAGCCAGATAATTTCAAGGATTTAGTATTCCCATAGATAGTTCTGTCAGAGTTTTGCCTTGGGAATAACTCAGAATCTCTATACTCAAATTCTTAGGAGAGGAATTTAGTCATATGGCAACCTGAGGTCAGAATAAGAAGGGGCATCTCTTATGATGATATAAAAAGAGGAAAAGGTGCTTCCCCACAGGAAAAGTTAGGTTCTTCAAAGAGGGAAAAAAATAAAAGGTTGTAAAAGGCAACATCCACATCTTCTGATTCCACTTGAAAACTCTTGAGATTCCATTTCTGCCCCCAATAGACAGTGATTTTTTTAAACAGATGCAAATGGAGCCTGCTTTAGTTTGAGTCATCAGAGAAGCAGAGTTCAAGATGCAATTAAATGTACAAGGATTTTATTGGAAAAAATGTGAGAGAAAATGGGAAGGACACCAAGTGAGGCTGCAGAGCTATCAGACAGGGATGCAAGTCTGACATGGAGAGGAGGGAAGGAGGCTGGGTGGAAGCTTTTGAGGTTGTCATGCTCTAAAGAAGGTTCAGGAAGGTCTCCAGGGAATCCTCCAACCCAAGTCCTATCTTCTAGGAAGTGTTCTTGCCAGGGCCATTCATTGACTCGGAGCTGCTGTGGGGAAGCATGGCCCCAGCACAAACACAGGGAAGGATTTGTAGAGAGCACATGAAGACACTTGGTCACTTACACCTGTAGTTGGAGTTTTGTGAGGCACATTCTCAAGGTAACCACAGGTGTTCCCAGGACATCAATAAATTTTCCTGTTCTCAATGATTTATCATGTAATTGGTTTATAGCAAGGACCAAACATATATCACTGGGAGACACAGATGGGGTAAATTTGGATACATGGCTATTTTAACCTATTTGGCTTTGAGGGATTCTACCTCAGGTGCTTGCTCCAAGTCTGACCTGAACTTTGCAAACTGGATTTAAATTGTGATTCAATATATCCCTAATTCAGTAATCACCACACAGTCACCAAGTCAGATTCTAATTGCAAACCTATGTCATCTAAGAGTTTCTCCAATTCCTAACTAGAGCAAAGAAACTTCTGAAAACATGGAAATGTCTGAAAAGTCTAGCTCACATATTTTTAGACTTAGAATTTTGAGAAAATAAGACAAACTGACTTGGTTCAACTTTCAAGGGGCACAATAATATATTATTATAATATCATAAAGTAGTATATATTAACATATATATAATTATAATTAATATATATACTTTCATATTAGGTAACATGTACATATTAGTATCACTTACTCTTCTAGGCAGTTTAAATTTATTTTTACTCATTTAATCTTTGAAGCAAGAACATGATGTAAAAGTAGGACAATCCTCATTTATTTTTGTGGAAAACCAGATTCCAAAAGGTCAAGTAACTTGTCCAGGTTTCCATAGGAAGTAAGTTCTGCAATCAGATTTGAACCTATGGAATCTGTCTTCTGAATCCTGTTCTTAACTGCTTCTCCTGTATCTTCCCTGACAGTGATATTTGGGTAGGAATGTTTTAACAAAATGCATGGAGGTCATCAGAACACAGCATGAATCCCTCTGAGTCACAGAAAGAATGACTTTAGGCTCAAAATTTGTGAATTTACCAAGAACCACAATGTCAACAATATAATCATGCTGAAGATAGGATTTCTCAAATTGTGGATCACTAATAGAAGTTAGGATCAATACTTTTAAAAACAAAATAAGAATTACAGGTAACAGAGATAAATTGCATGTATGTGTGTGTACATGGGCATGTGAGTATTGGATTCAAAAATGATGTTATTTTTAAATTTTTATGGGTTCTTTTTAGTTATACATAACATTAGGACTTATTTTGACATAATTATAAAAGCATGGAACACAATTTGTTCTAATTCGGTCCCCAATATTTTCCCTTTTTCTTACATCCTGTTCCCTTCCCTCTACTCTACTGATCTTTCAGAAATGATTTACAAACTGAGGGTTACAGATAAATGAAAAAATATTTTCTATTTTTTTAATTTCCATTTCAGGAGCCACTGAATCCTTCCAATAAGAAGGCGAGCTCTTCTGCTTGCCTGTGGTCATTAGCAATAACCATGGCTCTGGACAACCAGCATGCTTTAGGTGGGAAAGCTTGGGCTTCATCTGAAACAGACAGGGTATACTGTCTGGGGCTGCCATAGCCTGCCTATGAGAAGGTAATAGAATAGGCTATGGAATCTTAGAAATTAACCCTTGGGAAATTCCAGGAGGATTAAGACCATTGGTTATTTAATCAGCCATCTTGTCTTCTACCAAGATAACTGAAAGGGTAGTGCTCACTAAAGCACTTGACACTGGAAAAAAAGCAGCTAAAAGTACCAAGGTTTCATAGAGTTCCCACTCTTTTATTTGACATTCCTTTTTCTGCCTGCTTAGTGCACCAGCCTGACATTTTTCTTTGTTCTTATGGGCATATATCTAGCTTCCTCCCACAGATCTCTTACATGGCAAGAACGGTACAGACTCTAAACATTATTCTTCCCCCACAGATGTCAAAAATGCATGAGCATGCAGTGCGTGCTGGGCTGTGGGTGGCAAAGAAGGAAAGAGCCAAGGAAGGCAATCTTAGAAATATCAATTTCTTTGATATAATTATACAATGGCTTCAATACTCCTAAGGGGCCATAATCATAAATGATGCCTCTTAGCCCTCAGCCATATGCTACTGCATGCCTGCTACTATCAGAGCTCTGTGGAGAGTGTGGGAGAATTGTGGCCTTTGCATTCCAGGAACTTGCATCTTAGTGGAAGACAAGGCAAACAGGTATAATAAAAAGAGAGTGCTTCATACCACAAATGACAAGGAATTTTCAAAAAAGTTTCTAAATGCAAATTACATTTTATTCTTTTTTTTAGCATTTTTATTTATTTTTTTATTTTTTATTCTAATTTGATATATATGACAGCAGAATGCATTACAATTCATATTATACATATAGAGCAAAATTTTTCATATCTCTGGTTATATATAAAGTACATTCTTAACACAAAAAAAAAAATGCCATAAGCTCATAAAACATTTAATTATTTACATTTCCTTTAAACTTACTGAGACATAGATTTTTGAATAATACTTTTTAAATAATTTATGGTTAGTCCTTCTGATTGAAGATGTCAAATGTTAAGCAAATGAAGAATAACGATAATAAGATCTTAATAACATTTTCCATGGGGACGAAAAAAGAGCATCAATAGCAGTGGGAATAGGTTTCTTTGATTTTACCCCATCTTTCTAACCTAAGCTTCATTTACACATTTTCTTCAGCTTTTGAGAAATACTATAAAGCCTGAAGAACTATGCATTTGTGTCCATTTTAAGCATATGTGATGGAGAAAAATCTCTGTCTTCAAAAATGAAAATATATGAAATTTGTATAGTGTTCTTGCATAGATTTCCATCTCACAAGAATCTCATATAGTAAGCTATACAATCTCTAGCTTACAGTGAGAAACTTACTCAAGTTTTCTTGGTCAGTTCTTAAAGATATGATACCTATATTATATGATTTTAAGTTAAATCATCTTTCCAGCAAGAATAGATAAATGGTTTAGTGTTACAATGTATGCATGCTATTATTCAGCAATAAGTTGTTTTTCAGAATTTCAAAAATACACTGTTTGAATCTTCAAAGAAATGCAACATGAAGACTTACTATTATATTCTAACTCTGGATTTGTAATTTTTCTACAATTTATATTCATGAAACAGATACATCACCTTCTAAAACCACTACAGTATCCTCATCATTAATAACAACTCCAAGATACATCTCCCCACAAGGTATGATTTCTGTGTGTCTGAGTGGAATATTGGCCTGCTTGACCCTTCCTCACCAACAAAATCCTACCAATCTTGGTTCTCAAAGCAGAGTTCTTTCAAAATGAGAAATTTTTTTTGCACTCGAAGCATGACATCTATCAATCATAGCTGTTTTCCTTAAATGTGGGTGGAGGGAGGATTATGAAGATTGGCACACATTAACCAAAGGTGAATTGTCTTTTTTTCTTTTTTTTTCTTAAAAATAATAGGCACTGAGGATGAAAAATATGCAAACCCTTCACCAACCAGTCCTTCTTATTCCAGTGAGTAACATACACATCTCCATTCAGGGCAATTGATATGCAGAATGTTCAAATATGAGCAATAAAGGGAAGGGATTAGATTATGACTTTTTTTCCCCCTCAACTTTATTGAACTTTAGCTGCCTGCTTTGAGAATTTCCCACAAATCTGATCTTAGTTAGCCGACTTTGGAAATATTTTTCTTATCTTAGTGCTAAGGAATTATCAAGGGCCAAAGATGACTATGGAACTAGTTTCAGACAAGCCAAAATGCACAGGAAGAGATCCCAGTACAAAGTTATTGTGGTCAAACCATCACGTTGTGTACCTTGGATATATTCCATATTCATTTCCAATTAAATATTTTAAATAAATAAAGTAAGTTACCTTAATAGAACTTTATGTTTAAAAAAGACCTTTCAGACACATTCCATTTTAACTAAAATATATGTATATATTTAGAGTATATATTAGAATAAATGTATGCTAGGACTAAATACAGAATACTTAATAATTTTCTCAGAAATTTAGCTTAAGATAAATATACATGAAGCTGGAATCATAAAACTTTATCTCAGGTTTGAGTAAAGCCATTTCACTAAGTAAGTCAGTAGAGAAATTACAGAGCTACTGATTCACAGACTCTTTATTTGGGAAAGCAATAATAACCTCACTTAAAGTCTATTAAGAAATCAAAAGAATGTTCTTAAAACAAATATTTAATCATGACAGTGGAAGTGTAAACTATCCTATAAATTAGTTGGAGAACTATCCTCACCCTTTAATAAATATATGAGGATCACATACACAAGCAGATGGGAAGACCTAACTAAAGAGTAGCTTAACTCCTGATTCTCTTGTTGTATTCCTGTGACAGTGTGTTTCATTTCACCACTATTCTATTAATATGGGAAATGACTATTAGAAAAGAAGGCAGATAATTCTATAAAATCAAAAGCACTCTTAAAAAAACAAAACAAAAAACAGGAAAAACACACCCTAGGTCACCTTAGCAACATCACGCCCCCAAACAAACACACACTCAGGCATTTCTCTTGAATCATGTTTTGCAGTTTTTAAGAATCACACCCAAAGTGATATCTACTTGTGTTATTTTATGCCTTTACTGGTTTCAGGACAATATTATTAAAAGGGTAAATGTGAGTTTTTCAGTAAGACTAGCACAGCCCCAAGTGAACTATATACGTTTTTACAAGTAACTTTGATATAAAGTGCTTAGGAATATAATGAGTGAATGCGATTTGAACTATAATCTAGAGGACATTTTCTGCCTCTCCAGTCCTCCATCTCTTTATTCCCCCAGTCACCAGGAAGATGAGGAATTCATCTCTCTTAGGTTTGCAAGTTTGTTTCAGAAGGGCTACAAGACTGACATCAAGTGGATGTGTCAGAAATGACAACTGGAGCAAAAATCCAGAAAGCAGATAAATCCTCTTTGTCTGAAATGTAATATTTTTAACAGAATGAAGTTTAAAGGAGAAATCATGCATGTTTTTGCTCAGTTATTAATCTATCTATGTGAAATCCAGAAGCCACTCTAATTCACAATGTCTCCAACACTTTTCAGGTATTATTTTGCCAGTGGTTATTGCTTTGATTGTTCTAACACTTTCAGTATTTGTTCTGGTGGGTTTGTATCGAATGTTCTGGAAGACAGACCCAGGTATGTAACTGTGTTTTGTTTTATTTTGTTTGCCTGAAAGGATGATGGATAATTGCTTAGTCTAAAATTGAACTTAGATTCTTAAAAGGTGAAAGAAGTCTCACAGATAGAGATAAAATATTGCTTCATCACAAAAATAGAGGGTAAGATGCAGAAAAATTCCATTGAATGCCAGTGGCTTTAAGGAATGGGGATTAACTTCTGTTGGTGGATATTAAATATGGAAAAATTCTGGTAAATGAAATAGCCTAATTTTTGTGAATGGTCAAGGGAACATGGGGGTAAAGAGGGCATAGAGTGGCATATCTGATTTATAATGAAGTTTTTCTTTTTTCCATTTGAACATAATAGATAATAAAGGGAGTCTTGCTAAGTTTAGGAGCCCACAATCTTAAGAACAGTGTTTTGTGACTTTAGTCCTTGAAGATTCAGCTTCCTTCCAATGAAGGTGTCTACCTTAACTCTGTTTTGTTTCTTGTTTAAATAAACTTTCTATTTTAGAATAGATTTAACTTACAGATAACTTGCAAAGATGAGGAGTCCCCATATATCCCACATCTAACTTCCCTTATTATTATGTCAGTAGAGCATATTTGTCACAATTAATGAACCAGTACTCAGAAATTATTGTCAACTAAATTCTTTACCAAATTTGTATTTCTTTCCATTTTTTTATTCAGTTGTTTTTCTGTTTCAAGGACTTTGGCCATTTTTTTCCTTCAACATCTTCTAAATTTCCTTTAGCTCCCATGGCTCAACTGTCCCCTATGTCACCTTAACTCCATCGATCTTCCCGTTCCCAACTGATGGTATTGTGCAGTGTCATGAATGCGTGTCACCCACACTGGTTCCTTATACTGGAATGTCTAGCCCACCTCTTAGCTTTTATGATATACCTCCAATTTACCCTGTGGGGTCCAGATCAAATGAAAAGTTACTTATCTTTTTATAGCATACCATCATAGAATGAATTGTCCCCTTAATTTTAATTCTACAGTGTAGATGATATCATTCATCATACTATGGCATAGTACTTTCTATGCCTTCTTTCTATGCCTTCTCTCCTGTGAGTCAGATGATCCCTCCAAGTCACAAATCTCATTTTCCACATTACACTATAATATATACAGACCCTCATTACATACTTTTGAGTTAAATTTTTAAATCTTCAGTAAAATAGAGTCTTGCCTTTACCCACTTTGATTCAAAATGTTTCACTAACAGAATTCTACCAAAGTCCCAGAAATGGTTAAAATGTAAAAAGCACTAATTTTTATAGAGTATATGAGCTGCACTATTCATTGCTGACTTCGTGGACAGAGTGCCCTCAGGACACTAATGAATGCAATACAGGGGAGCCACTGAGTGTACATCTCAAAGGCCATTAGTGAATGATCATGACAGCGCAGGAAAGTTAGGAGACCAAGACTGCAGTGTTCAGTTTAGCTCTTGGTGGAAAATAAGAAAACAAATCAATGCCTTATCATTTGGGAGTGAGTGAATAAACTTCTTAGTAATCTCTGAAATATGTTTTCTTACCCCAATTTCTAGAGGGAAGATAGCTTTTTTATATGTAGGCTTAATTTTTCCAAATTTTTAAACCACCAATACCCAATTTTTATGTTAAATCAGCCTAAATTTGAAGCCTATGAGTGTAGATTATGAGAGTTATCCAATCCCCAAAAACCAAATGCCAAATATTTTCTTTGATATAAGGAAGCTGATTCATAGTGGGATAGGGAGAGGGAGCATGGGAGGAATAGACGAACTCTAGATAGGGCAGAGGAGTTGGAGGGGAAGGAAGGGAGCATGGGGCAATTAATGATGGTGGAATGTGATGATCATTATTATCCAAAGTACAGGTATGAAGACACGAATTGGTGTGAGTATACTATGTATACAATCAGAGATATGAAAAATTGTGCACTATATATGTAATGAGAATTGTAATACATTCCAGTGTTATATATAATTTTTTTTAAAAAAGAAATATCTTATATTTTAAAATTGCTTGAATAGGAAGATTTCAAAATATGTTATTTGAAAAGTTGAATTAAAGAGAACTCTGAATATATAAAATTCGCTCCATTATGAAGAGTTATTTTGAAGACATATAATTTCTCTGAAATGAAGTTCAGCAATTATATAATTAGCCAAATCTGTTTGGTTACTGTTAACTTTGTTTTCCAAACAGAATTCACAACATTGTTATCATTAAATTAGCACCATTAAACACCCGCAGTTAATCGCTCTTCAAGTATGTGGGTGAGACTTCATTAGGTTCAGAAAATTAGTAAACCTAGTCCGCTCTCTGGAAGACAACATGAATCAGAGTTCAGCATGAAATTAGATTTATCTGGATAATGTTGACAAAGGCTGAGCTTTAACCCAAGTAAGCAGGTGCAAATGCAGAAAGCTGTCTGTTGATGTGCATCTCTCTGTCAATGAATCCATTATTATAGTTCTCCAAGAAAAAAAATATTAGAATGGGCATACAAAAATTATCAGCTCATTTTGAAATGGGCTATGAGACCACAGGTGATATTGTCTATGACACAGGAGTTTAAAAATGTTGTTAAAGCCCTTCTGATGGAAAGAAGTAGAGGTTCAATGGCACTGGTGAGGAGTACACAGTGCTATGGATTAGATGGTAGGGATTAAGAATTATGGTTAGGTGATGTAGGCAAAATGTTAGGGGAAGTTAAACTCTTTATGGAATAATGGTCAAAATGGATGGCATTATATTCAAAGAGCATATCCCAATGACAAGAGCTGAATTAGACCTAAAAGGAAGTTCAAGAGACAGGAGGTGAGCAGAAAAGAATACAATCAGGAGCATGACAAGGAGCATTGAAACAATCATATTAAATAGCCCAATGCAAGTGTTGATCCCCACACCCACTCTAGAATGGGGCATCATTATATGGAAGGGCTCATTCTATATTATATCATTATATAGAAGGGCTCATTCCAAATTCTCACCTGAACGAAAAAGGTGTTTCCTCCCAGGCACTAGAAAAGTAGCTTGGCAGAGTGTACAAATAGTCCATTGCTATTAGTAGCCTGGGTGACATTTTGCAGGGCACTTTAGAAAAATTAAATGAATGGTCCGAAGATGCAATTAGAAACAATACCTACATTGTATCTCACCAGGAATGCAGTGATTTGTGTCCCAAGAAAGAGCAGCACATAAAGGAAAGTAGAAAATTCAATTCTCTGGTATAAAAAGGTAATTTAGTACTTGGAGGAGAAGTTTCTTAAAGATATTAAAATAAAATGAGAATTTTCTAAAGTGGGTTGTACAATAATGGACAGTATTCCGCAAAGTAATATGAAACTAATATTAAAATCAGTCCAGAACTAAGTTTAGTGGAATTGTTCTAATTAAGACAATCCCAAGAGTGTCAGGATGAGTATAAACCACACCCAAACAAATGTCTGTGAGGCAATAAAAAAAAAAAATTAAAAGCTGGCTTTAGAAAGAGAGTTTGAACAGAAAGCAGTAGGGGGTCTCAGACTTTTGGTAGTTAAGCTCCTTGAAACTCTAATACAATTGTCTTCTCTCCTAGGAACACCAGAAAATGGGAATGATCAGTAAGTAAGGCCATATTGCTTTTTTCCTCCTAGAAGCTCTGCCCCCACCATTTACATAGTGAAAATGCCAGATCTTTTACTTATTTTTTGTGTTGTTTTCTTAAAAAAAAAAAATGAGAAAACACCATATACCAAATATAGGGTTCAACTACTTGTCATTTATATTTAAATGCCTTTATTTAACAGAAAAATTCCCAAAACTAAAATAGAAGATTGCTCTTATGTGTGCATAAAGTGGGCAAATAAAAAATAAAAAGACAAAAAATAGAAAATATAACTCTGAAGAAAAATAGCATAGAAAACATACCTAGAGTTTTAAGATTGTTTTCCCAGGGAAATTCCCTTCCTCTTTATCACAGTTAGGAACAAATTGTGCCTATATCTTGAGCCATCTCTGAGTGACTTCCTCTTAGCAGTAGATGATTATCCTACTTTGGCTGCATTAAAACAAATGAAGACATTATCAGAAATCCAGGCAACTGTTACAGCCCAAGTGAGGCACAGAGACATGATAAATCTTGAAAAGGAATTCTGTGGTTTTCTTTGTTGACCTGCATTTGTAGCTTGCATTTATATAAGTTTTTTTTTTTTTTTGTTTCACTGGGGTGTGAATGCTACGAATAATATCCCTTGGTCCCCTACCCATCTGAATTAGAAGTGGAGCTTTTTCAGATGTTTAGAGAAGGAACTAAGGTTTGAAACTGTTTGGAATCTGGGAAGCAATAAGTGGGAACTCTTGGTTGAAACAGGCGGTTCAGTCTACACTGCAGTATCTCAGGACCTCATGAAAAGAACATCCCCAGAACTCAGCAATAGCCCATAAGGTTTGGAAACATGTCTGCATTCCGTATCTTCCCTCTCATATTCAGAGCTGGAGATGTGAGCAATGGACAGGTGCTCCATGTCATCCATATTAACGTTTAATTGAGCCAATGAGCACCACTGTAACAGAGTGATGGGGATTTACTAGCTTGATTACAGAACTGGACAATGCTAAAGAATGCATATGTATTTGTATGTGAAAAAAAAATAATTTTGCTGTAGAACTGCATGATGATATTTCATGTGTCTTTTCTTCGTGTTGTGTGTGCCGTATTTACTTCTTTGCACAGATACACAATGCTCGTGACTATTATGCTAACTTAATGTTTTCTGTTTTAAATAGACCTCAGTCTGATAAAGAGAGTGTGAAGCTGCTCACTGTTAAGACAATTTCTAATGAGTCTGGTAAGTTCCCAATGAAATGAAAAACTAGTTATTTGAAATCTAACTATAACCTTGGATTTGTTCATAGGAAACACAAGCATAACTTCTTTAGAAATAGTCAATAACTATCAATAAATATAAATTTCTTGTATGAAGGAAAGATATTCTAGAAATGTCATTTTCATAAGATTGTTGGACTAGCTTTTTAGAGATGCCCATCTATTAATGGGTGGTGACTCAACATACTTCCTATTCTGTAGGAATGGCAAAAAGAATATTCAGGTTTTTGGTAGGTTTTTTATTATAATGGTTATTTTGTTTTATTTTTGGTAATGGCTGCCTGTAGTCAATTGGAAACAACATAAATTAACCAATTAAAATATAAATCATGTTCCATATCATTACATATAATTTTAATTGAGCTTCCCAATAAAGACAAAGCACAATTTCTCATTGATAAAAATCAGTTTCCTTTCTAATTTCTTATTTACATATATTTGATTTGAAATATAGCAGTCTTTCAAAATATAGGTAAGATTCACATATGTTACATTTGTATCAAGAACAAATAAAAAAACAAGATGCTAGTTAGCTCTTAAAAATAAAAATGCACAAATTTCTTCTTGTTTAGAGTAGACCAGATGTTAAGTAACTAAAAGCACAAAAGAGATAAAGTAACAACAATTTTATAAGTTTTACAAAATAATCCAAATAGCTCCAATTTAAATAACATTATATTAATACATCTACCATATTCAGTCCTTCAAATTTTATTTCTAACAAATAGTCCCAGAATACATGTTATACAAAGTGATAGCTACAGAATGGTAAACTGCACTGTAAATATTTCTTCTAGTTAAAAACAATTTGGTAAAATAAAAAAACTATCAGTATTGCCCCAAATCAACAGCAAGCTATCAAAGGCTAAATGTTTAGGTTCCAATTCTATGATTAGGTTTAAGTTCTGGCATTCAAACCAGAACAAAAGTCACCAGGCAAACAGAGGACTTAAATTATATTTAAGTCCCAGGGCCCCAGAGCCACCACAGACAAGCCCAACCCCTCAAGAGAGCCATTTTCCTTTAAGAAAGACCTCTTTCATTGCTGTATGTATTCTACTCTTTGATTCATGCATTTCTTTTATCCCTTTCTTATTGTTTCTCTTAGGAGTAGCCCCATCTAAAGGTGCAAAGGAGTAAAATTTATCCATAGAATACTTGAAAGTCACTTTCACCCTTCTTTTTGGCCCAGAGACAATAAGCTAGCTCCCATTCTCAGAGTGCATGCAGTGGTACATGGAACAGATCATGGTGGGATGATTAAATTGACCCTTGACCCTCTGGACTTAACTTCTTCCTAAATAAGTAGTCAGGTCACAGGTCTAAGGAGGAAGGATCAACACGGAAATAATAAGATGTGTTCTCTAATACTTCTAAACAACTTCAAATTCCTACTGCTTTCAAGAAAATAACCTCTCAAAGATCAACCCAGTAATTACCAGGGGAAATAGCTGGTGAGAGGTGAAAACTGAAAATAGTGATCCAGAGCAGATTTCAATCACCCAGAATTGATAACTTAAAACACAATAATATCCAAAAGGTCCTTGTACTATCAAAATTTTTATTAAAACTTGTCACTAACAATACTCAGAGATCATTAAACATTTCCTAATAAATCTCTTTCCACTGTCTTTCAAAACCTTTTCAAATATGTTGATTAAACTATGCTTATCACACTTAACAGAAGTTATATTAGTAAAATCATTTTTATTTAAGTATCTCAGGACCAATGGTGACATTTTGCCTAAAACAAAACTGAGTCAAAAATTCTGAAGTGATTAGGTTTAAGTTCACAGGGTTAGCCCAAGTTTTCTACTATCACCTACATAAACATCTTTTTCAAATACAGAAAATAATTTGATGAAATAAATATCTATTTAAGTCAATCAGAAATAATGTTATTATAATTTATATTATTTGTTTCAAGGCCTAAGAAATACAGTGTTAATGTGCATAAGTGGGTTGCTCTTTGAAATGTGAGCTTCAGTGGCCATGATAATTCTTTGGAACCCTCATTTCTTCAGTATAGAAACTCTGGACTTCACCTCAACATGAACTGTGTTATTTTAGAGGCCAATAAACAATGTTTCCAAGGAAACCGACCTCTGTTGCAGTTCACTCTCAGGGAAAATGCCAGTGGATGCTAACTTTTCTGGGTTTCTAGAAGCCTCCATGAGTAACAGAATTCTAGTCCTTTCTTCTGGGAAGATGGTTCCTCTGTTTAGGCCATGATGTTTATCCATTCATACTCTCTGCTTCCTTTAAATATATTCTCTTTCAAGTAGCATCTTCTGCTGAAATGTAAGCCCATCCATGCTGAAATTCAGAGCTTTCTTGAATATAAAAGAAAAAACTTGCAAGAATAGTAAGAACACACTTGGCTTTAGTGAGAAATGTTGTCAAGTTAAACGTCACCATAGTTGACTTCAAAACACATGTGTGACATGATGCATTCTAAAACATGATTCACATACCACATCTCAGAGAGTTCATATACATTATTTCACTTTTAATATGTGAGGCTTTAAGAGTTAAGAAGAAAATTGCTTGAACTAGTCAAGAAAATATATAACTGGGGCTGGGGATGTGGCTCAAGCGGTAGCGCGCTCGCCTGGCATGCCGTGCGGCCCGGGTTGGATCCTCAGCACCACATACAAATAAAGATGTTGTGTCCACCAAAAACTAAAAAATAAATATTAAAAAAAATTCTCTCTCTCTCTCTCTCTCTCTCTCTCTCTCTCTCTCTTAAAAAAAAAACAACAAAATATATAACTACACAGAAGAAAGAAACTGCAATCACCAAATTTGTTACTGAAAGCTAGGTCCTTGTCCCCTGTGCCAATAAAGAGGACATGGTTTGAGGAAAAAGGAAAAAGGTTTTATTGTTCTGCTAGTAAAGGAAAAGCACAAGGGACCCCTGTCCCAGAAGCTGTGATTCTCCCGATTAGGAGGAACAGGGAGATTTTTAAGAGATGATTCAAAGGCTACATTCCAAGTGCTCTCTATCCTGAGTTATAATTCACTTTGGGAGACAGTGATTTTTTAGATCTTCTGGGGCCATCCCCAAGTCTGAATTACTTTGTTCCTGTGGTGCTGATATCAGTCTTGAAAATCAGGATCTCGTCCTTGTTCCCCTGGTGTTGAAGATTAAATACCCAAGAAACACACCAAAGCAAGGGTAGAAAGCAAGTTTTATTTAAGGGATGGAAAAGAGACAGACTTCTCCAGAGAGGAGAAAGGGACCACCCAGAGCTGGTGTCGGTGGGAAGCAGTGGGTCTTGCCCCTTTATAGATTTTAGGTTTTCTTTTTCTCATGCCCCCATCTCCTCTTGCCTACAAGCAAGAAAAGAGCAGCCCAGGGGTTACTCATTAGCAACTCCTTGTCTTGGGAGGAGCAATTCCCTGGAGGAGTAGGTAACCTTGGTAATTGGTTGAAAAGAGGGGGAAGTGCTCTGGAGATGTTAGCATTTTATTTTTTTTTCTTTGAATTAGCCCCATTTTAGAGACTCCAACATCTATCATTGTCTACTCTGACTACCTGCCCTTTGTCACTGTTTTAGTGAGTGTGGTTCAAGGTCAGATAACTCTGCCTAGGATGAGGAAGAAAGTTAATCTGGTTTCCCCTGAGATTAGGAAGAGGGGAGAGATTAGGGAGGAGCAGGGAGAGGGAAAGAGAAAAAAACATGTCTCTTTTAAAAAATAAGTTACAGTGGCAGAGCCACAAGGGCTATATTCAAAACATAAAGTGGACCACTGTTGCAAATTTAGTTTCAAAACATTACTTGATTTTGAACAATGTGAAATGCAGATTGGAAAGCATTATAATATTCCTCTGCTTAGAAAGCTCTGAGAAATTCTTATTACCCAAGATTAAATTAAAGCCCTTAGCACATCTATAACCCCCCCTACCCCCGCTTGATGTGCCCATCCTCTCTAGCTCAGTTTTTGAACCACTTAGTAATGCATGTTCTCTAAACTTCAGGCACCTTGTTTTCTCACTGAGTCCTAGCCCTTTTGCAAGAATGAGGAAAAGGTCCCTTGCTCCCCTTTGTGATTCTCCCCTCCTCTCCTGGCCATCATGGGTACCAACACATCAATACCAATTAGTATATTATAGTAATTACTCATTAAACAAAATCACTTTTTAACTTTTTTGCTTATTTATTTTTAAAACTGTGTCTATTAACAAGAAATGAACAAAAAGTTGAAAATAAGTACAGCATTTATAGATGTATAAAGCCATATGAAGATTCATCTTTCTTCTCAATTCTTCACTAGTTTATGCTCTGCAATTCCACTAAGACTTCTTCGACTGTCCTAGTTTTCAATGGTCTTTTCTTCCTAATTTTGCAAAATTATATGTTTTACTGACATACAATGTTTCTTGGTGCTTTAAACTACAACTTAATTTTTAACTACATTATGCATGATTGGAAATAGAAAAATAAAAGAATACAAAAATAATTTTAAGTGATTCTTGATACAACCACTGTTGGTATTTGGTGTTTTTCCTTTCGGCTATTTGTTCTCCAGGTTTGTGTGTGTTTCACCTGCTTGTACCATTACATCATTATTTGCATCGTTATTATAACTGTTAATGAAATCACAGTGTTATTGAAGCTTTTTCACATTGTCTACTCCTGGATTAGAACTTGAAGGGAGCTATTAAGAACTGTAATAATTTTCACATGAATTGATTCACATGGTTTCTAGCAGATAGTAGAGGGTAAATAAAAGTTCATTTAACAAAATACCTGTACTTCTCATGCCTGTACTTCCTAGCCATGGTTTCCAGGGAGGTGCAGTACCTTTTGCAAAATAATAATAGTTAGCAAAAGGTTGTGAAGGGAGGCTGTGAGGAAAATCACATTGTGCCAGCCTCTTTCAGAGCACAGCCCCAAATTTGTTCTCCTTGTAAGTCTCTGGCACTATTTATTACTGCCATGACCATGCATGTAACCAGTAACATCCACAGAATCCCCAAAAGACATTTTCCTGACCACTGTCAGATAAAAGCTGGAGCAAAATGAATATATTCATCCAAAAAGTTGGGGATGTTCACCTATATTGTTTTATAGAGTGTGGCTGACATTGATGCTTGATTCTGCCTGAAGGATTCTGGTGATGTGAAATACATTAGTCATAAATTCAGTGGTATGTAAAAAACATGCTTGGGGTCTCTTGGCTTCCCATCATTCTAGGTTAATATATTTATCACTGGTAGATGGTAGAATATCACTGCAATTTTGAGTAAGGTTGCCTGAGCTGCCCTATATGTCACCAATGTGTTTGTGTTGGTCTATAAATTCATTTTCCCAAAACTCTCAGTGAATTATTTAGACAGAAGGACCCTAGAATTTCTTCCTGATAAAATGGCACTTTGGATGGATGACATGGGTTTGCTCAGGCAAAGCCAGCTCATATAACAAGCCAAAATCAATGATAAATTCCCCAGGGTGTCTCTGTTGTTATGGTCTCCCAATTGACATCTCCCTTTCCAGCGAGTTAGTTAACACTGCTCCTTTAGGGTGAAAATGGATGATGGTCACAGAAAGCTCATAAATCTTGGTGAATAATTTCCAGGCAATAGCAAGAGGCAAATTGTGGCTGTAATGATAACCTTGCAGGAGAATTGAACTTTCTTTAACAAAAACAAAAAACAAAAGAAAACAAGCCAAGAAGCCCTATTTTCATCTTTAGCCACTCTCAGAGCACATAGATCAAAACCTATCTTCTGTTCTTAGGTGAACACTCTGCACAAGGAAAAAGCAAGAACTGACAGCTTGATGAATCCTCCTTACACCTGGGCAATAAATATGTAAGTTTCCTAATTCCACTCACTCTGCTACTCATTAATATCTGTTATTTTAGCCTGCTGCACCTTAGATTATTTCCAAAGACTTTAAAACCTGAAAATTTAATGGTTTGTGTCAGTGAAATCATCATTGTCTATTTGTTTCAAAACAATATCTAAGAAAAGTTGCCAGAAAAATTAATGTCTTGATGGTTGTAGAAGATTGTTCCAATTTACCTGCCTATCTATGGAATGACACAATTCATTCTTCCTGCCTGTTGATAATATTTCCTTATAAATGCAGTCTGTGCCTACCTGGGCCAGTAAACATATACTAACAGTGGTAGTTAGACAAGATTCTATAGCTTACTGATCACTCACAGGACCCAAATGACAATGCTTGAAAATCTGTAGTTTATTGCAAGAAAAGGATACAGTATAGGAGCTGCATTAAAGATATGCATCACAGTCATAGGCTGGCTCAGGGTCAAGAATGCACAGAAGCTGGGTAGAAGTCCAATTGCCTTCCCTCTGTAGGGACCATACCAGCATGCACTTTCTCTCTCAATCCAGGAATTATGAATTTGCACACAAAACATATCAAACAAGGTGATGAAAAATACAGTGTAAGTTGGGGTTTCTTATGCACAACTGATCATGCAGACATATTGGGCATATTTTTGCTTTATAACCAACTGAATGACTTGATCCAGTGCAATGCAGATACTTTTCTTGTTTTAGTAAAATAGCTCATGTCAATTTCAGGGCTGCTCTGGAATTGCTCAATATGGGCTTGTCTTAAACTTTCCTAGAAGCAGGTCAGGAGATTTTCTTCTGATGTTAATTTAATTGTTATAAGAAGCAATAATTACATGCTATTATGATTAACATTTGATGCTTTATAGAACCTAGAGAAGAATATATCATTTGGAATAAACAATTTTAAAAAATCAAAAGAACTAATACATACATGCCCAGATATGGCCTGAGTACAGTGATAGTCACTCTGGGTAAAGTGTCTGGCATGAAGAATATCATCGATATGTTCACTGCCTCTGTCGACTACTCACCTACTAATATGGTGTCATTACAGACACTTAGCAATTGCTTGTTGAAGAATAGGTGCCTTCCATTCTGCTCTGAGTGTAGCAGAATATAGAGATAGAGATTGCCATCCAAATGCACACATCACTATTAGAATTTCATCCCTTTATAGCCAGTAATTAGATGCAGATTTGAATGAAAGGAATTTGAGAGTTTATCCATTCTTTTATAAACATGAACATTTTCAGGTGCCAAGTTTGAGAAGTGAGGTGTTGAAACATGTGGGTCAGCTCTCACTAATATATAGGAAATGTCCTTGCAGACCAGCTATGGTTTCTCCACAATCCTGTGGCTAGTGAAGGGATGCCTTCTTGATTATCAAAATGCTCAAAGTGTAGAAACAAATTGTTCACCTTAAAGAAAGTCAAACTCTGGTAAGCTGAAAAAGAAAAAGAAGGAAACTGTATATAGAAGCCAAGGCATAGTGCTGGCCCAAACAAATTTAATAAAAGAAACTATTGTCTAACTCCAATTAATTTCTATTTTTTTGTACTTTAAAAAATATTCCTAAAAACAGAATTTTCTCCAAAATCAGGGACAAAACAAGGACATCCACTCTCACCATTCCTATTCAATATAGTTCTTGAAACTCTAGCCAGAGCAATCAGACAAGAAAAAAATATTAAAGGGATACAAATAGGAAAGGAAGTCAGATTATCTCTGATTCCTGATTAGATGATTCTATATCTAGAAGATCTAAAAACTCTACCAGAAGGCTTCTAGACCTGATATAAATTTAGCAAAGTAGCATAATATAAGATCAAAATATGGGCATCAATAGCTTTCCTATACTCCAATAATGAATATGATGAGAAAGAAATCAGGAAAACTACCCCCATTCACAATAACTTCAAACAAAAACAAACAAACAAAAACTTGGGAATAAATCTAAACAAGGAGGTGGAAAGACCTCTACAATGAAAACTATGGAACACTCAAGAAAGAAATGAAGAAAAACATCCCATGTTCTTAGGAAGAACTAATATTATCAAAATGATCATACCACCAAAAGTATTATACAGATTCAATGCAATCCCCATCTAAATAGCAATGACAAACTTCACAGAACTAGAGAAAAATGATGTAAAATTCATTTGAAAGAGTAAAAGAAGAGTCAAAGCAATACTAAGCAAGAAGAGTGATGCTGGAGGCATCTCAATTATCTCAAATTATACTAGAAACCTATAGTAATAAACCACAGTGTTGTCATCCAAACAGATATGAAAATCACTGGAAAAGAATAGAAGAAACAGAGACAAACATAGATAGTCATCTGATATTTGACAAAGATGCAAAAAAATGTTTTGGAGAAAAGATAGCCTGTTTAACGAATGGTGCTGGGAAAACTGGATATTGATATGTAAAAGAATAAAACTAAATCCTATCTTTCACACTTCACAAAAATAAATCCAAAGTAGATCAAAGACCTAGGAATTAAACCAGAAATTTTGCAACTGCTAGAAGAAGACACAGGCTCATTACCCCAACCTATTGGCACAGGCATTAACTTCCTTAACAAGACTCCTACTGCTAAATAAATAAAACCAATAATCAATAAGTGAGATGCTATCAAATTAAAAAGCTTCTTCAGAGCAAATGGAACAATTAAGGGCATGAAGAGAGAGCCTACACAATGGAAAAAAATTTTTTCCAGCTACTACTTCAATAGGAGATTAATATCCAGAATATATAAAGAACTAAAAAACTTACACACACACACACACACACACACACACACAAAGCAATAATTGGTCAAAAGAACTAAACAGACATTTCTCAAAAAAAGGGAACAAAAATAACCAACAAATATATGAAAAAAAATTTTCAGCATACCTAACAATCAGAGAAATGCAAATTAAGTATGACTGCACATATGGGGCAATGCTCCATCATGTACAACCAGAGAAATGAAAAGTTGTGCTCCATGTGTGTACAATGAATCAAAATGCATTTATTTGTGGGGGAAAAGGTGCACTCTACACGTGTACATTGTTGGTAGACTGCAAATTTGCATCACCACTTTGGAAAGCAGTATGGAGATTACTGAAGACTAGGAATGGAGCCACCATAGGACTCGTCTATCTCACTCCTTGATATTTGTTTCCGTCAGCTTCTTTGCTGGTGTGACCAAAGGACCTGCCAACAACAATTTTAGAGGAGGATAAATTTATTTAGGGCTCACGGTTTCAGAGGTCTCAGTCCAAAGATGGCTTACTTTACTCCTTGGGGCCTAAGGTTGAGCAGAAAACCATGGTGGAAATGTGTGGCAAAGGAAAGCTGCTTAGGACATCACACTAGGAAGCAGGAAGAGAAAGAGAGAGAGGGAGGGAGAAAGAGGGAAAGAGGGAGAGAGGCAGAGACTGATCCTCTCACCATGGACAAAATATAAAACCCAAAGGCACAGCCCCAATGACCCACCTCCTCCACCACATCTTAGTTGCCTGTAGTCACCACCCAGTTAATCCCTATCAGGGGACTAATGCACTGATTAGGTTAAGACTCACATAATGCACTCATTTCACCTTCAAACTTTCCTGTATTGTCTCACACATGAGTTTTTGGGATATACTTCATATCTAAACCATAACAATACTTATCCAAAAGAATTAAAATCAGCATGCATAAAGACACAACCACATCAATATTTATAGCAGTATAGTTCACAATAGTCAAGTTATGGAACCAGCCCAGATGCCTGACAACAGATGAATGGATAAAGAAAATGTGGTTTATATACACACTGGAATTTTACTCAGAATTAAGGAAGGATGAAATTATGTAAATGAGTAAATGGATGAACCTAGAGAACATCATGCTAACTGAAATAAGCCAGGCTCAGAAAGTCAAGGGTCAGATGTTTTCTCTCATAGGCGAAAGCTGGAGCAAAATAAGGGGGAAATAGTGGGAGATTATTTCATGAAAATAGGAGGAAGATCAGTGGAATAGAGGAAGGGGACTGAGAGAGACGGAGGAGAGATGGGGAAAAGGAGGAACTATGACATGAAATTGACCAAATCATGCTATGTACATATACGAATATCTTACTGTGGATTTCACCTTTATGTTTGTTTGTAAAATAAACTAACTTAAAAACAATGAATAAGTAAAAGAAAGACCAGTAGTGGAGAGGAAGGGCATTAAGGAGAGGAGGGAAAGAGGAAGTACTGCAGACTGAAATAGAGCAAATCATATCTGATGCTCTTATGATTATGTAAAAATGCACCCATTATGTGTAACTATAATATACTAATAAAAACATTAGAAATATCCCTGGCCTCTGACTTGCAAAATCAAAGGTATATAATTTTTGTTGCTCCTCTGTGGCATTTTGAAATGATAGAACCATGTTCTAAACAGTAAAGATCAGATATTAATGGGAATAAACAGGTTGGACATCTGCCAATTCTACTGTCTTAATTTTTCTTTAATACATACTACTATCACCAAACTAGGAATTGAAGAACCAGTAAGTAATTACCTTCTAGGTTGTCAGCTAGAAGTCATAATCAAGAGATTGAGAATAAATAAGAATATATTCATCAGTCCTAGAGTATATAGGGAAGGAAGTTAAGAAACCTTTGAATATATATTCAACAGCAAAAAATGATTTAGAAATACTCACCTATGTTAAAAATTTCCATCTCAAAATAATATTTTAGATATATTTAATGCTTTTTGCTTCATATATTGATCAGTTATTTTGTGCAGAGGATTTTATTTCATGTGATTTTGCAGGGCAAACAGGAATTCCAAAATCTTTAGGAGCCATGGTCCTTGCCTTCTGCAAATCATTATCTACTGGGAGCATGAGATTTTGCACAAGAAAACAATTAGAGAAAAAAGTTAAAAGCTATATGGGTATGATTGTTGCTGACTCATCAATTCAAACTTGTCCTAAAATCTCTGCTATTTTTACCTTCAATAGGAACCTTCAATAGGAAGGTTTATAGGGCTTTCAGAAAACATTACCTTTCGCTGCAGATTTCTTGCTATATTCAGGGACCATAATTTTGTTTAGAATAAGAAAGGGATGGGGCTGGGGTCGTGGTAGCACATTTGCCTAGCATGTGTGAGGCCCTGGGTTCGATTCTTAGCACCACATACAAATAAATAAAATAAAGGCCTATCAACAACTAATTTTAAAAAAAAGAATAAGAAAACGATTATTTTAATGTAAACTTATTATTTTAATGTAAACTTATTCTGTATAATTCACTTTGGTCTCAATTATGAGAACAAAAGTGGTTCCACTTTTGGTACCACCCTTGAAATAACAACTTGTGCCAAAATAGCCTGTGATAAGTTTTGAAGGCCCTTTGAATCAGAGATGTGAGATAAAGTTACTATATGCAGTTCTATACCTATTATTGTTCATCTGCAGGAAAAATGTGTCTGTTTTCTTTTTCTGAGATGAATTCTCTTATGATAAGGAGTGGCAAGGATGACAGCTCAAAGAGATCTTTTGCTCTACATAAAACTTCTGCTAAGACTAGAATTTCTAAATATAAATGTGGACCAGGCAAAGTACACTCCTTGATGCCAATAAGTGGTCTAAACAAACATGTTCACTGAGTGTGGGGTGTCGACATTAGTTAATGATACCTACTTGTGGGGAAAATGTTATAAAGAACTAAACATAAAAAATGAAATAGAGCAAAAAAATTAAGTAGGATTTATTGAGTCTTCTTGGCTGATAATTTTTAAAAACATAATGTCCAGGATATACAAAGAACTCAAAAAACGTAATACCAAGAAAACAAATAACCCAATCAATAAATGGGCAAAAAAACTGAATAGATACCTTCACAGAAGAAGAAATACAATCGATCAACAAATATTTGAAAAAATGTTTAGCATCTCTAGCAATTAGATGAAAATCAAAACTACTCTAAGATTTTGTCTCACTCAATTCAGAATGGCAATTATCAAGGATACAAGCAATAATAAATGTTGGCAAGGATGTGGGGTGAAAGGTACACTCATACATTGCTGGTGGAACTGCAAATTGGTGCAACTACTATGGAAAGCAGAATTCCTCAGAAAACTTGGAATGGAACCACCATTTGACCCAGCTATCCCACTCCTTGGTTTATACCTAAAGGACTTAAAATCTGCATACTATAATAATGCAGCCACATCAATGTTTATAGCAACTCAACTCACAATTTCTAAACTATGGAACCAACCTAGGTGTCCTTCAGCAGATGAATGGATAAAGAAATTGTGGTACATATACACAATGGAATATGACTCAGCCTTAAAGAAGAATGAAATGATGGCATTTGCCAGTAAATGGATAGAGCTAGAGAATATTATGCTAAGCGAAATAAGCCAATCCCAAAAAACCAAAGGCCAAATGTTTTCTCTGATATGTGGATCTAGTTCACAATAAGGGTGTGGGGGCTATGGAAAATAGAGTTGCTTTAGATTAGATAGAGGGGAGTAAAGGAAGGGGAGAGTGTATGGAGGAAGGAAGGATAGTAGAATGAATCAGGCATTATTACCCTATGTACATATATGACTACGCGACCAATGTGAATGTACACCATGTACAACCTGAAGAATGAGAAACTATACTTCATTTATGTATGGTGTGTCAAAATGCATTATAATGTCATGCATAACTAATTAGAACAATTTTTAAAAAGAGACAAAGGAAATTCAATGAAAAAGAGAGGAATTCTAATATATCATGATTTAAGACTTCCAAATACAAGAAATTACCATTAAAAAAACCATAATACTACCGGTAATGGTGGTCACACCTGTAATCCCAGCAACTCTGGTGGCTGAGGCAGGAGGTTCACAAGTTCAAAGCCAGCTTCAGCAACTTAGCAAGGCCCTAAGTAACTTAGTGAATCCCTGTCTCAAAAAATAAAAAGAGCTGAGGATGTGACCCAGTGGTTAAGCATCCTTGGGTTCAATCCCTAGTACCTACCCACCCACCCCACCACCCACCCCCCAAAGAAAAGAAAACTAATTTGGGATGATGTACACGGCCAATAGAAAGCTAATTGACGTCTTAAACATACAAAGAAGTTTATATAAGTTGGAAAATAACAGAAAAAAATGAGCAAAGATCATGAATTCATAGACAAGGCAATAGAAATGGAAATATGAAACTATGAAGAGTTCCTGCACAACTAGTAATAAAAAAAATGTGAATTGAGAACAAAAAACTTTTTAACTTATACATTTATTTCAGCTTTTCTCTCCCCAATTTTTAAAAAATATACTCTGAAGCAAATCATTTCATATACTCTGTACTTTAAAGTGAAAATTGGACTAATCTTTTGAAAAGCAGGTGGTAGTGTTCACTAAGAAACTTAAAGGTTCACAATTGTCACCTAGCAACTCATTTGGGAGAAAATTTTTATAAAGAAATTATCTCAAATGTGAGTAAAGATTAATACACAAAGACTGATAGGAAATAATTAGAAACGGTATCAATGTCTAAGAACATGAAATTTCTAAAATAAATTCTGCTCTGCCTTGACATTACAGAGCTATCAAAAGTAATCAAGACAATTTTTAATAGCATGCCAGATATAAATAAATAATTTCACAACTGAATGGAACACAATCTGAGTGCTCCATGAGCAGTTCTCTGCTGAGAGCACCCTCTGCCACCCGCCCGCTCCCTCACCAACAGGTCTCATCTCCCTGCTGTTCCAAGACCCCTACTAGACTGAGCCAGAAGGAACTTTCAGAAGAGTGAAGAGCTGAGCCACTGTGAAGTCTAGCAGCTCCTATGAAGGTGGCATCACATGGATCTTCGACCGTGGGGACTGTTAGCCACTTCTATTTTTCTCCCAGATCCAATTCACAGTGCTTCTGTAATTTTCTAAATGGCAACCTGATAATGTAAGAGCATCTTTGTGAACTCCAAGAGGGTCTTAACATGTTTTTCAATTATTTTCCTTTCATTTTCAAAATGAAATAACAGACACTAAAAGAAAAACATCATGAGTAAAGATTTATTTTCCATTCCTACTCTATAGCCTTGAATGAGTGTCTTGATAATGTTTTGCACTGGGTTCCACATCTATAAAACAAGGACAAAATGATCTTTTCTCCTATGTCATTGTGATTCTTTATACATGAAGTATTATCATTAGTGTTAAATCTATCATGATAGTTAGCATAAAATAATCATTTATTAATTATAAAAATACAAAAATTTCAATATTTATGGTTGTGTAGAATCCACAGTGAGTCCTGTACATCATTATTGAAGCCGGAACACTCACTCCTAAAAGGATTAAAATGTGAAAGAAATAAAATATTGATATTAGCACAGACATAGAAACTGACAGTATCAGCTAATGAAAAAAGTTATTAATGAAGCAAGATCCACTCCTTGAAAAAAAAATTGTCAATGTGGAATACATGCTGTTGAGATTCCAATTTGTTTCTATATAGATTGTAAATATTTGATAAAAGGTTTACAACAATAATCATGAGTCTTATCTTATTCACACGAATCCAAACATCTACCTAGGCAAACTGTGCTATAAACTGTGGCTTCACTTGGAAGCTCATCTACAGAGGTATGGCTCAGTTTAACCCAAACTCACCAAGACCTCCTCTTGCCATCCTCATCAAGGTTTTATAGTGACAGGGCACAGTGGCTGCATCCCCTTAGTGTCAGGACACAGTGACTGCATCCCCTCGTGATAGGGCACAGTAAATACATCCCCTTAGTGATAGGGCATAGACTTTATTCAGCAGAGGAGTATAATGACATTTGTGCTTGAGATTCACCACTACTTCGTGTGGAAGTCTACTAATTCAAGAGGAGCTAGAGTGGAAGTAGAGAAGTCAAAGGTTATTGAAATATTCCATTGGAAAACGACAAGGACTTGAACCAGGGCTGCAGTTGTAGGAGAGCTGGAGATGAAGAGGCAGAACAAAATAGAGAGCTGCCTGAAAGATAAACATATCAAGATGTGGTGATGGATTGGATATGGGTGGTGGAGAAAGAGGAAGAATAGAATTGTGGATGATGCACACACTTCCAGCCTGGGTGCCTGGATGGATCATGGAGGTAATAGCAAAGATTGGGATTATAACACGAAGGAAACAAAGATGGGAGACAATAGAGTGGTTTCCCTTTCAGAAAGTTAGATTTGATGTGCTTGTGAGACATTCAGTAACCATATTGTGAAATATTGAATATTTCTTACCAAGGCATGGTCTTCACTGCCATCACTATTTCTACTTCACTGTGTTGGAATCTGAGTTTCTGTTGTTGTTCTTGTTCACAGGCTTAATCTTCAGCTTCTGTGCTCCAGAGGTGGAAAGGGAGAAAGTTCTGCAGAATCACTCCTGACCTCCGGTCTTGCTCTCCAGTCTGTATCAGTAGCCTGTCACGCAATAGTTTGATAGAAACAAGAATTCTGGACCTCTCCTGTCCTTTGAAATGTAGAAAAGCATATTCCTTCAATTTATGAGACATTTGTAGGAGAGCAAAATTTAGGAGGGACTTTTGTGTGCAGTGAACCTGGCAGCCCGGGTAGGTGGCTCCCTGAGGATATGTCCTTCCCTGAAATTTAAAGTTTCCAGAGGGTGACAGTTTTTATCCATGGAAACTTTCCTACTTTCTTAATGTCCTTATATTACTTAGTGTTTGTATTTATTGTTTTCTACTATGTTTATGCAGGGAATATTTGCAAGTGTCTTATTAAATATTAGGTAGAAATCATACCATGCTACCTTGTACAGATAGGTATTTTATTCATATTTTGAGGTATTACTTTTAATAAATAATTGCTGCAACTCAACACACTAAAAAATCACATAAAAATGGTAATGATATTGTCCTCCTATAATTATGAATAATTTTGGATTGATTTCTTTAATAGAAAAACTCATTAGAATTTCAGAAAGGCATCTATAATAACCCGAGAAAGGGACAGAGAATTCATGTGTCAGACACTGCCTGGGAGAGAGCAGTTCGCCATTTCTTTGGTCTTTCTGTTTGAATGCACACATGTGACAAGGATATAAGGGCATTTATGACATGTTGTCTTGCATTAATTAAGAATATAACAGGATCAAGATATTTTTCATTAATCTACTTGGTTGATAATATTTCTGTATTTTTTATTTCTTTTATAAATGTAAAGATTTATTCTGTGATCATTGCTAAAACTCTGCTTTGTAGAAAGCTGTCACATAAATACATAATTGGGATATTATTTTTCAGGGTATCACTTTCTTAAAAATCCCATATGACTTTAGCTGCCTCCCCATCAGGAGCAAACCCTTCTGTTGAAAGCTGACTGATCGACCTTGACCATTTCCTGGACACATCAGATCAAAATGTCAAGTTGGATGAGGTTCTGTGAAAAGCTTTGGAACTAACAAGCTGCAGTTGTCAGCTTTTTCACTTCTATGATTTCTTAAGCTGATGTCAATGCTAAATTATCTTAATGATCTGAGGGCAATATGGTAGAGATGGAATGCCATGTATAAAACTGCCTTGAAATTTTTTCTTTGTTGCAGTGTATTTGAAAACTTTGCACTTTAGGGATTGTATAATCATCTTGATTTTAGCTCCCTGATATTTGAACTATTTCCAATCAAGGACACCAGGGAAGCATATCTATATTTCTGGTGGATTTCTCTTTATGTTTCTGTGAGAAGGAAGGGGACTAGAAAAAAGAGGAAAGATCTCCACTCCGTGTGCTTTTACTTAGGGCTGCCTTGTGCATGTCTAATTGTAACTTAGGAGTCTCTAAAGGAGTGAAACATTTAGAGACTTCACAGTGAGGGAGTGTTTGTCTTCACATGGAAAATAGCCCAATGTCCATAGACTGCTCCAGTAAGCACCCCAGCAAAAACCTGTCATAACAGAACATCTTACAAGGAAGCATTCTCTTCTACAGTTTAAATTACCACAAGTGATATGACTTATTAAAAAAAAATTTCTAACTTTCATGACCATTATTAGAAAATGTTTACCAGAATCAGGAAGAAGGAAAGCTTTTTATGGTCATGAAAGAATTAAATTCATCCCAGTTCAAGCACTGTATATAATGAATATGCTTGATATTAATAACTAAAGCAGTTAGTCTTTAAAAAGGTCAAAGTGACAGGAGATTGAAGAATTTAGGGAGATATGCATAGAATTTTGTAGCATCATTCTCAAAGATAACCTCAAATGTTGGCATTTTTATAAACCAACTTAAACTTCTATTGAGATAGGATATTTTTTGTTTGCTGGTCAAAATTGTCATTAATCAAATTCTTTTTTCAAATTAGATGATCTACTTTTAATGCCTGACTTATTGTGAGCTTTTTAATCCAATATACAGTTCAAATGTTACTGCAACAAAGGAATATATGTATTTAGATCAAAGTCAAGACTTTCTATGTGATTGTTCTGCATGACAATATGAATATAATTTAAGTCTACCAATAGTTTGAACATAAACAAGAGCTAATTAACTGGCAGTGTTGTCAGCTGAGAATAAGTGGATGTTGGCTGACACACAAGCTATGATCAGCCAGCAGAGAAAGACTTCTAAATTCTCCTTGCTGAGCTGAAATATTCTATTACATATGGCTGACAAATCTGTTCTATTTCTTGTCTACATGCCACATTTAAGTTTGTAAGGACCAACATAGGATATAGTTGAAATTTTGATACTTTAACAATGAACACACTATCCTTGTCTGATTTTTCTCAATTGAGATCAATTTATTCTCATTAAGATTTTATGAGGCTCTGGGCCAGGGATGTAACTCAGTGGCAGAGCATATGCCTAGCATGTAAAGTCCTGGGTTTAGTCCTCAGAACTGGGGGAAAACAAACAAACAAAAACAAATTCAAAACTACAATAACAACAAAAAATCATATCTTACTGGGCTCTAAAATGAAAACTGTTTGTTTTAAAAGTTTTATTTTGAGTAACTGTAAAGTCAGTTTTCTATTTCACCAGGTTCCAGTATCCATTGATTTGACCGATCTCTAATAAAAATTAATTGGAGAAAGAAAACTGTGTCTATACTGAATATGTACAGATTCTTTTCTCATGTCATTATTTACTAAATATATGATATAATAACTATATGGTATAAAAACATTTACATTGTATTAGATATCATAGGTAATCTGGAGTTGATTTAAATTATGGGGGAGGACATGCGGAGGTTGAATGCAAACACTACATAATTTTGTAAAAGACCTGAGCTCCATAGCTATTGGAACCTATGCAGGATCCTGGAACCAATTCCCCATGGGTGACTACCATTGTCTCAAGATTATGAAACTGTTTATGTGTGCTTGTCACCATAACAAATACCTGAGATAAATCGACTTACAAAGCAAAAGGGCACATTTTGGGGAACAGTTTTGGAGGTTCCAGCCCATGATCAATTGGCACCATTGCTTTGGGGGCCTGTGGCAAGGCAGCACATCACAGTGGAACAAAATCACTCCCTCGTGGCCAGGAAGCTAGAGCCAGATAAGAGCCTGGAGTCTCATACACCTCTTCAAGGTCCACTCCACGGATCCCAAGGTCTCCCAGTAGGCCCTACATTTAAAGTTATCATTTCCTCCCAATAGTACCAAGCTGAGGACCAATCTTATAACACATGGACCTTGGGGGGACACTCTGGTTCCAAATCATAGCAGTGCTAATATTAAAGATCTCCATAATTGTGAATAATTGATCCTATGGTAGTTGCTTTGAACTGAAAATTTGGTATGGATTATCCACTGAATTTTTCCTTAAAACTTCCCCAGAACACCAACAAAACATTTTGCATTCCATTAAATGAGTATATTTTGTCCTTTGTTCCAGAGGATGTGTCTTGTAGGCTTGAATATGCCTGTTCCCTGCTCCAGGATACTTTTTAAAGGAAAAACTGTTTTGATAAATAATGAAAAAACATCCATCCCTCCATCAATATTAGATTCCCGAACCTGAAGTCAGAAATTCTACCAAAGTCAAGATGTTGTGTTGGTGTTCTGGGGAAGTTGAATAATTTGGAGGTTATTAAGGACTTGTTTAACATTTAGAAATAATACAAATATAAGCCTATTTTCAATATCATAGATCATGCTTTATTTTAAAAAAAAAAGGAAAAAGAGTTCTACTAATGTAATAATAAGAAATGTCTCTAGTTCACTAATACCAATCCAATATTCACTATGTGCCAAGTACTATGCTAAAACCTTCACAGTTACCATTTCAGTTTATCACAATAATTGCAAGAAATAATTCCTAATATTACTTTAGCAGCATCTCCATTTTAAAATGTGAAAATCAATTCAGAAACTTAAGTAACTTTGTTGAAGTTTATGCAGCTAGTAAACAGAAAAATATTTAGATTCCAACCTATTCCCCAATTCCCCAATCCCTGTTCTTCTTCACTATATTAATTAGCCTTCTAAGCCACAGTTTGCTTATCTACAGGAAGGAGTTAAAGCATAAAGCTGATGGTCACCATTAAAAACAGGGAACAGACTTACATAACCCTAACAACAATTAAAAAACAGAGCAACTATTTTGACAGTGGACAACAGGCAGGACTGAACTAGGATTCATTCATGAGCACAGAGAAACAAGAGAAGATGGGCCTTTCAAATCCCTGACTGGCACAGTCCAAACCAACTTCATAGAGTTAGGTTAGAACCTGATAGTTGCTCTGAGCTGTGGTTGGAACAAGTGGGCTCCAGAGGATGGAAATTGTGGAGCACAGAATCAGAATCAGACAGGAAGAACCTACACAGAGAAAGGCTTCCAAAAAATCTGCATATAGGAAACTATATCCATTAATAATGGGAGAAAAAACTATTAATACTCTTATGGTAAAACTCCATGAGGCCAGGAAAATAAGTAGGAAAGAATGACTGGGGAGTTGTATGCTGTGAATTTCTAGGCTTCTTACAGAGCAGAAAAATATTCAAGATTTGAATTGAAAATCCTTACTGGTCATCTTGATGAATGATCCCAGAATGGTCATACCCTTAGTAGTATTAAAATATTATTGGAGTAATGACTCTAGATAAGCCCCAACCCAGCCTAAATGCAAGACTTAAAAGAATTACACTGATCTACTAATGGCTTTCCAGAACCAAGTCTGACAATCATTTATAAAGACAACAAAATACAACATAGCACCTCAACAACATGAAAGTCCAAATAGTATCATCTAATCTAAGTTATGTCATCTCCCAAAGAAATAAGTTGTGAACCACAACCATAAGAAAACATTAGACAATAAAGATAGAAATGACAAAAAAGAATAGACATTTTGCAACTAACATGTTGATAATAAAACGAATCACAGACCATTTAAAAAAAAAGAAAAAGGAAAAAAAACTGACTATGGGCAAATAGTTCTTTCTCATGAACATAAACACCCAAACCATTAACTAAATATTAGCAAGGCAAATCCAGCAAATTTTAAAAAATAATAAAGAAGATCAATTCCAGGAATTCAAAGTCATCTAGGATTTGAACATCAATCATTGTAATTCAACATATTAACAGAATAAAGGACAAAATGTTATGCTTATCTATAAAGATGTAGAAAATACATTTGAATAAATTCATTATTCATTTATGATAAAAATCTCTATCACACTAGAGATTTTGATCTGATGAGGTATGTTTATGAAAATCCTATAGTTAATTTTTAAATAAATGGTAAAAATTTAAATTGTTTCCCCTTAAATTAGAAACATAGTAAGTATATAAGCTCTTACCCCTGGTATTCAGCACTGTTCTTGGGGGACAGGTATACTACCCAGTGCAGTAATACAAAAAAAAAAAAAAGTACATGCAGTCTTGAAAGGAAATTGAAAAAAAAAATCAGGAACATATTTTATAACATCTACCAAAAAATCTCCTAGAATGAATAATTGAATGTATTATAGTTGTACGATAGAAACCAAAATACCAAGTTAACTGATGTCTTTTATAAACTAGTGATAAAAAACTAGAAATTGAAAATAAAGAATATTTCCTAAAATAATGTCAAGAAATATAAAGTACTTAAGCATGAATTTTACAAAATAGGCTCATTCCTTGCTCACATAAAACTGTTAAACTTCTGAGAGAAATTAAAGAACAGTAGATCATAGACTAAAGGACTCAATATTACTATGTCATGTATACTTAATTGATCTAAGTTTTCATTACAATACCAATTCAAATTCAGTATTCCTTTTTGTAGAAACTGATAAGGTTGTCTAAACTTTATGTGGAAATGCAAAAGACTTAGAATAGGTATTTTTTTTTAAAAAAGCATGCAGTTGGAGGATTCACACTTCCAGATTTAGAGACTTACTATAATTTACAAAAAGAGTATAATCTGGAAAAAAGAGATTCCAGAAATAAATATAAATACTTTCCCCCTATAATCATCCCCATACATGGCTGATTTTTGTTTTTACAAAGGAGCCATAAATACAAACAACAATAAATGTTAACGAGGATGTGGGGGAAAAGGTACACTCATACATTGCTGGTGGAACTGCAAATTGGTGCAGCCAATATGGAAAGCAGTATGGAGATTTCTTGGAAAATTGCCGCAGTCTGGCTGGGCACAAATCACAAGCCACTGAAGCAGGAACAAGCTTTATTTCTGAACTCCACCAGCACACTCCACACACGCTCCCGAGAACTCCCCTGAACGCCACACATGCGGCTCCTCCAGGAATCACCAACCGGAAATCCCTCCTCCGGCACTTCCCCAACCAATGGGAACTCTCCGGGAATCCCCCTGAGAACTCCAAAGTAGCAGGCCGAGGTGGATAGCAGGGGTCTAATATACACAGCTTAACATAACCATTATCATCTCAATGGCTTGCTGGTGTCACCTCTCAACCACTCTGTTCTGGCAAAAATGCCATGCATCATTCGGACTCGGCTATGGCTCTCAGCAGAAAATTGGGAATGGAATCATTATTTGACCCAGCTTATCCCTCTCCTCAGTCTATACACAAAGGACTTAAAAACAGCATACTACAGAGACACAGCCACATCAATGTTTATAGCAACACAATTCACAATAGCTAAACTGTGGAACCAACCTAGATGCCCTTCAATAAATGAATGGATAAAAAAGTGGCATATATACACAATGGAATATTACTCAGCAATAAAAGAGAATAAAATCATGGCATTTTCAGGTAAATTGATGAAGTTAGAGAAGATAATGCTAAGTGAAGTTAGCCAATCTCTAAAACACAAATGCAGAATGTTTTCTCTGATATAAGAAGGGGTAGGGAAGAGGAGCATGGGAGGAATAGAAGAACTCTAGATAGGGCAGAGGGGTGGGAGGGGAAGGGAGGGGGCAGAGGGTTAGAAATTCTGGTGGAATTTGATGGAAGTCATTATCCAAAGTACTTGTATGAAGACACAAATTGGTGTGAATATACTTTGTATACAACCAGAGATATGAAAAATTGTGCTCTATATGTGTAATAAGAATTGTAATGCATTCTGCTGTCATATATAAATTTTAAAAAAATTTATTAAAAAAAGAATTCAATGCAGAAAAGAGTCCTTTCAACAAATGGCCCTAGTACAATAAGACAGCCATGTGCTGGAGAGAAAAAAGCCTCAACACTTACACTAAACACAAAAATAACTCAAAATATATCAGAAACCTTAACATTAAATCCAGATCTGTAAATTTGCCTTCTTTTGAGTCAGTAAAGATTTCCTAGATAGGACACAAAATGCCCAAACTAAAGACAAAATAATGACTCAAACTTTATCAAAACTAAACTCTTACCAAACAATTTTTTTAAAAAAAACTAAAATCTTCTAGTGTTCAAATGATGATTAAAAATTTGAAAATGAAAGTCCAAATAAAAGAAATTGTTTACATTAAATATGTCTCACAAATGACTTTCATCTAGAATGTGCATTGAACAAAACTTAAAAATAAGAAAATTGATTTACTGAAAAATAGGGGAAATATCTGAACAATTTACAAAACAAGGCATATGATTTTCCAAAACCACTGACACTTTAATTTC